AGCACCGGGGCTGGCTCATTCTCGACATCGACAACGACAAGATCGTGCCGGCGCACGACATCCTCTTCTACAAACGACTCACCCTGAAGTAGTGGAATGAGGATCAGATCCGTCGTGTCACACGGGCCTACGCCAACAACGGCCGCAGCTTTGCATCTCCGGAAGACGAGGCAGCAGCAGCAACATATGAGCGCGACCCCGCAGACAAACATCCTGGCGTACCACCTTGCCCCCGCGACGACAACGATGATGACGGCGACGACGCTCCCGCGTCAGGACCATCACATCGCCACACTTAGCCCAGCACTTCCTCACCTGCCCACGAGAGTGACGATGACGATGTGGTGGAGGTCACCACCACAGACGCCGCAGGCGCCCCCAATAGCACAGGCCTACAGCTTCTCGGCCTACACACGTCAGTCACTACCCTCACGCGCGCCGTCGAACCCAAGAATCCACGCCAGGCCCTAACTGGTCCCCACGCCAAGGAGTGGCGCGTAGCTATGGATGCGGAGCTGAAGGCGCTGGAATCACGATACACATGGGTCCTAGTCGATCGTACAGCAGTGAAGGGGAGGAGGGTGCTGAGCAGAAAATGGGCTTTTCGCCTTAAAACCAGGGTGCACATTCAACGCGATTCGGGTGGGAAATTTCTGAGGGCGATTCGGTGAAAATTTGGGATTGGATCACGAGAAGCAGCTCGGTAAAAAATTCGGGTGGTGCTTCGGGAATTTCGTTGGCGGGGAGAAAGTGGGGGGAGACTGAAGGGCAACAAGGGGGGCAGAAAGAAGCGAAATGGCGGTAGGAGACGAAACAAGGTGGCGGGAGGGGACGAAGCGAAATTGAAGGGGAAAGGGAAAAGAATTGGGGGGGACGGGGAATCAGCGCGAAATCTGAATCCCAACCCCGAAGCGCACCTCGTAACCCAGGGCATCAAAGGTTAACCTTTGATGCACATTCACCTGAATGTGCACCCCGGTTTAAAAACCAACGCTGACGGAACAATTGAACTCTTTAAAGCACGATGGTTTGCACGCGGCTACGACCAGCGCCACGGCGTTGACTTCGACCAGACTTTCGCCCCCGTCAGTCGCCATACCTCTGTAAGGATTCTGCTCGCCATTGCCGCTGCTAAGCGTCTACCACTGCGGCAGATCGACGTAAAAAATGCATTCCTATATGCGTTGGTTGATGCAACAATCTTTGTGGAACAGCCACACACCTACGGGTGAGGAGATCCCAGGGTCTGCCAGCTGAAGAAATCCCTCTACAGGATAAAGCAGGCGCCGCATCTCTGGCAACAGCACCTGCACAAAATCCTCCTGGAAATCGGCTTTAGGCATCTGCCGCACGACCCGGGAATGTACCGCCTCCACTTCAACAGCGATTATATCCTCATGACAGTCTACGTCGACGACCTGCTGTACACCGGCACCTGCAACAAGCTTCTGGACCAGTTTGAAGCTAACCTGGCGCAGCGCGTTGACATCACCATCAACCACAAGGTCACGCAGTTCCTGGGGCTAAACATCACTAACGCGCCAGAAGCAATCCATCTGTCAGCTTCTAAGTACGCAGAGCAGCTGGGGAAACGCTTCAACATTTCGCCCACACCACTCTCAACTCCTTACCGCAACCCCAGCGCCAACTACAAACCGGACAACAAACCTTTGTCGCCCGCAGGACTCCAACTGTACCAGCAGCAACTGGGGTGCTTATTATTCGCCTCTGTCACATGCCGACCCGACCTTTCGTACATCGCCAGCCAACTGGCACAGTATTCTCGCAATCCAGTAGCTGAGAACCAACTGGACCTGGAGCGCGCCCTGGAGTACTTCATCTCCACACCTGACATCGGGCTCTCCTACTCCACGCTGACGACAACCTTCTTCAACCTCAACGGCTACGAGGACGCAAATCATGCAGCTGATCCTGCGAATCGACGGTCACGAACCGGCTTCGTCTTCCGCTTGGAGCCAACAGTACCAATCTCCAGGAACTCTCAGAAGCAGGAGCTGGTTGACCTGTCGTCGGCCGAAGCAGAGTACATCGCCACGACAGCAGCAGCTCGCGAAGGTTTGTACCTGCAGGAACTGCTGCAGGAAGCGAAAATCTCAACCGCCCACCTTTCGCCTCCACTGCGACAACCAGAGCGCCATCAAGATCGCGAACAGGGTTCGTCAACCGCACGAAACACATCGCGCTTCGATACTTTTTCGTCAAAGACGAAATTGACAAGGACCTCACGTACTGCCCCACCACCAAGATGGCAGCTGATTTCCTCACCAAGCGACTGCCACGTCAGCAGTACCAGCACTGCCCCAACCTTACCGGAGTGGTCAAGAGAGTCAGCCATCTGCGCGACCAGGAATGAAGGGGAATGTTACGATATGAAAAATGAGTAAGGCATTCCTGTATGCTGCAGGAGCTGACTCTACCGAATACGAAGTCGAGGAGTCAGAAGAGTCGAAGCGACACAGCAACCGTCTAGTCAAGACCGATGCAGGCAGAAAAAATTGAAGTGAAAAGAGCGGGAACATGTTCAAATCCCGCGCCGCACGGTTGAACTTCGATGTAATAAGGGAATGTACCCTTTAGAGTACGTGGCTAGTCTAGGTCGTTTCGTATTCCTTTGTATTTCTTATATAAACTCGATGTACGCGTGCTATTATTATCTCATTCATTTACATTCACTCAGACCTGAGGTCAACTCTTCCGCTGCAACACTACACTGCGATCAACCCTGAGCGATCCTTCGCTAAGTCCTACTTGAGATTGTAACACGATGCATGTGGAATGAGGCCACATGAATATTGCGGTTATACTGATATCATGTCTTACTATTTCGTCGAAAACGTGGACCTAGTTTCCGCACTGTGTCAAGGTTGATCTGAAATTATTATTATTAGTCGGCAATTTACATGTAGAAGGGTATTTGACCTTAATAGAATGGTAGATACGGAGATGGAACGTTGGTGTTACTAGAACCATTATAGTGTGATGATGTACGTTAAAAGTCTGTAATGCTTTCTGTAGCGGTTATAGCATTATTGCCATTTGACTTGTTGTATTTTCTCTGTATCTCACGTGTGACTTGAGGCCAGTTTAGGTTCTGGTTCGGCGCGGGGTGGAGAGCATCTCCAGAGCTGTGGGAAACCGACGCAACCACGTGGTGACTGATGTTGGGAAGGGTAAGAACGCCACATCGGCTTTTGCTGTGTTGATTCTGCTATTGCGTGTTGTGGTTGGTTAGAGTCGCGGCAATTAGGATCACGTGGTAGACATCTTGTGAGTTTTGCCTGAATGCCTGCGTCAGAGTGACGTGTTCCTGCATGAGCAGCGCAGCAACCACGCCACCTTTTCGCGATTTCTCAACGTTCTGACGTACGCGAAAGCTAAAATGTCGTCCTCTCGCACGCGTTACGAACGGTTCCATGAAAGTACCTGATTTCGCGTGTGTTTGCAGTATGATTGCGGGTTTACCGCAAGTCCATGTCAGCCAAGACGAAATCAGCATCCACCAACTCCGTTTCCGCTGTCGGTGTTTGCTGGCAGAAGCGCAATCCCGCGCTTACCCCTGACCTCGAGAACTCCGAACCGAAATCTTTCACATGATGGAACCAAACCCAAACCAAGCCGACGAGGCATGCTTTGGTTGCGCGGGACCACCACACCAGCTTCGTATGCTACAGTTCCATCCAAACCGAACCAGCCCAACCAATCTCCTCCCAACACCTTGGCATTCTCGATTTGATAACCCTCCACAACTGTAGATCGTCCCGTCACCCAACGGATGGGCGGCGAGGAGCTTCGTGGAGCGTCGCGACTCGCATCGCATCACACTAAAGGGTTACACGTACGAGTCAGCAAGGAAGGGATGGAACGCACCGAAACGAAGGACGAACGCCGTCAGTCGACCACTTTCGTACGTTCGATGCCTTTTCGGATCTTTCCTCTAGCGCAGTTTCTTGGCCGCCACGCAGACTAGGCAGCAAAACGACGCGGCAATTCCGCCGCCTCCCAATGGTTGTGTCAGACGCGGATTTCCGCTCTCATCTCCGTCATCCTCGCGACGAGATATTTTTCCCAATCACGTTCGCCTCGTTACGTTGCACTTCGCCGTTCTCTCTCACCCCAAGAATCTCTCGCTGCATTTCACCCGAAACCCCGTCCCGTTCTCCTCATTTGCTCGTTCACTTGAGAGAAGCGTTGCATCTGGCGTTGCCATTGCCTTCCGTCGAACGAAACGCTGTCTCCTATCGGTCGCCACCACTCCCCTCTCTCCTTCCCTCGACTCCTCTCCTCCTGGCCTGCATCCAGCAAGAACCACTGCATCGCAAACCCTCACACCAGCTGGGAGGTATTAGAAGCCCTCGACCATCTCGAATATCTCCAACCTCATCCGTCCTCATTTTCCACGCCTTTTTCCACCTGTGAGAAGCACCGCTGTTAGGGAAGTGGCCGCTTGCCCAATTTTGTGGCCCTTCCGTGACTGCAAAGCTTCTGCTCTGCTCGTTTATTTTCGAGCAGATCTACTTCTCACCGCCGCCATGGCGCACAGCTGCTGTGTGGGGAGTCTCCTCATGGATCTTTCCGCAACCAACGCCGCCACAGCCGCCGGCACTTTCGGCGCGACCAGGACCTGCACTGAGCGTGCAACCGCTGTTTTCTCTCGCCCGTGCAACCTCCGTTCCAACGTCCAGCTCTCCTCCCTCGCGCTGCCCAGATCCACGGTTCGGTCCAGAAGACCCGCCGCTGCGAAATCTGTCCCTCGCGCGGAGTGGTTTACGGATGACAGCAATAGCAAGGAATCGACCACTTCTTCTTCCTCCTCCGCTTCCTCATCGCAGTCGTCGCAGTCTTCTCACCAGTCGCCTGCCAGCCGTCCATTCGTCGTCTCGTCGCTAACCGCGTCCGACCCCACGTCCTTCAGCGCCGTCCGGGAGCCTCGGAGCAACGACGACGGCGCCGTGCCGCGATGCGCGGAGGACCTTCACTCTATGTCCCTTCCCGAGTCCACCGCGCGCCCGTCACTCTTCGACGTGCCCGGCCCATCGCCCTCAGTTGGCGAGAAGAGCTCGGAAGCTGTCAGAGAGGAGCTTGAGCGGTTAATCCGTGCGACGAGTGCGCTTGAAAGTGCTCGTGCTCGGGAGCAGCAACAGGAGCAGGAGCAGAAGCAAGGCTGGAATCCGTTTTCGGGGCTGGTGAAGAAGGTGGAGGACGGCATTCCGGCCCACGTGCGAGGGCTCATCCTCTTGAACGTCCTCACCCTCCTATACGGTGCGTGCCGTGGAAAACTCCGCTTGACAGATCTGTTTGTCCCCTTATCCGTTTCTCTTCTGTCCGAGCTCCTGCTTTTCTCCGCTCCTGTGTTGATTTTGTTGTTTTTTTTCTCTCTTCCTGCGCATCTTCGCCGTCCCTCCAGGCAGCAACATTACGGTGGTCAAGGAAGCCGCGGCCGTCCTCGACCCCTTCACCTTCTCCGCGACGCGCTTCGCCATCGCCGCGGCGGCCTTCGCGCCGTTCCTCGCGTCCGCGCTGCGCACGCCGCACGTGCGCCGCGCGGGGCTGGAGCTGGGCGTGTGGGCGAGCCTCGCGTACGTGTCGCAGGCCGTGGGGCTGCTCACAACCGACGCGGGGCGCGCGTCGTTCATCGGCACCTTCACCGTCATCGAGGTGCCCATCCTCGCCGGTCTCTTCGGCGCCAAGATCCCGCCCATCACGTGGGTCGCTGGCTTCGCCGCGATCTGCGGCGTCGGGCTTCTCGAATCCTCCGCCGGCGACTCCTCCTTCGTAAGTTGCGGAGTCATTCAACGCTTCGATTTTCGTCCAGACATTTCCATCTTGTCGAGTCAATTCAATTCTCCTCTTGATTCTTGGTTGGCTGTCCGTGATCTCCCTCCTCCCCGCCTTTCCCTCGCCGCGCATAAGCTCAGTCTCCCCATCCTCATCCCCGTCCCACCCGTTCCCTCCGCGCCGCGCAGATGGGTGATCTCTGGACAATCGTCTCTGCGCTCGTCTTCGGCGTGCACATCCTGCGTTCCGAGCACCACGCCAAGCACGTCACGACGGCCGAAGCCCTCCCGCTCATCTCCCTCCAGCTCGCCGTCACCGCCGTGCTCTCCACCCTCTGGGTCTCCGTCGGCTCGTCCTCCGGCCTCCTCGCCGGCTGCGGCTGGGAGTCCCTAATCGCGGGCGACTGGGGAGAGCTCGCGGCGTGGCCGTGGATGGAGATGGTGTATACTGGAGTGCTGTCGACCGCGCTGTGCCTGTGGATCGAGGTCGTCGCGCTCAAGGACGTGTCGGCGCCCGAGGCCGCCATGGTGTACACGCTCGAGCCGCTCTGGGGCGCCGGGTTCGCGTGGGTGTTGCTGGGCGAACGGTGGGGCCCCGCCGGATGGGTTGGCGCTGGTTTGATTCTCGGTGAGTTGTGCGCTGGTCGGCAACGATGCGATGCGAGTCTTCTTATTTATTGATCTTGAATTGGCGGCTGTTGGCTCTTCTGTTGTTTAAACGACTCCACCTCTTTCTTTTTTTCTAATGTGAGTTTGTTTTCAATCGTTCCTTGTTTCGTTTTGTGTTCCAGGTGGTAGCGTGTCCATGCAAATGTTCGGGCAGTCGGACGAGGAGCATGAACACCACGCCCCCGCCACACCCGCTGCCGCTGCCAAACACCTTGCTCTTACCGCCGAGAAGACCTACCCCTCGCCGGCCTCCCCCGCGCTCTCCGCGCTCGGCGTGGCCGCAGCCGTCGCGCTCGTGATGACCGCGACAACCACGGGGCTACCAGTGGCGGACATGGGCAGCAGCACGAACAGCGTGCTGACGTGGGTGCGCGGGCTGGGGCGGTGGGGCGGCAGCGAGATGGAGATGGTGATGGAGGGCGAGCGCGAGGTGGAGCTCACCACCGCCGCCGCCATGGCCGCGCTTGGCGGTGAGGAGCTTGCTAGCCTGGCTTCGCTGATCAAGGTGTATGCTCTGGTGCGACAGGACGAGATGGATGAGGCGATGGAGGAGGAGAAAGAGGGCGAGATGGAGAGGGTGGCTATCTGAAAGGAGGATGGAAGAAAGAGCAGGAGTAGATGCATGGTGTATGTGGCCCTGATTGATCTGATGGTGGCTCTATGGTGACCTGATGGTGGCCTGCTGCGTCTGAAGCTGATACCAGGCAGGCGGCTTTCCGTGCAGTTTTGACAGTGCTGAGCTTGATGCTGATATGGGAGATTTATCCCCCTCCCTCGCACTGCCATGGCTTGTTCCATGAGGGCAGCCATGGCAGGTGTGGGAGGACGGGGGCTCTTTTTGTTGTCCCTTGGCTTGCTCTGTCCTTCCCGCTGTTGGCTTGCAGTGGGATCGACAGGCAGCCCCAATTTTGCCTCAGCTGCAATGCAGTGGCTTCTGGTAGTGAGCGTGCTCACCAGCTGCTTCTACCTGCTGCTGCTACCCCCGCATTCGCACTTGGGGGCGGTGGTAGCGTTTTGTCTCTCCTCCAGTCAATTTTGGCCTCCAAGCATTTTGATTCTTGACCCGTTTTCTAGCTAGTGTCATTTGTGATCTTACTATGTAAATGTTTTTTTACTTCCAAATTCTTTACTTTGTTTCTGAAAAGAAAAAGCCTTGAATTTAGAAACTGATCCGCATTGAGAAAGGCGTTTCGGAAGAAGCCACTGTTGTGTACATCTGTCAGAGAACGACGAGACTTGCAACTCCAGAACAGCCCACTGGGGCAGAAAGAAATGAGATATAGAATATGAGGAAGAAACAAACGCATCCAATTTCTGAAGGCATCCACGTGGGGCTAAACAACAGAGCACATAGAGTGGTGATTGTAAAACTCTCCACACGTTGGATTGGAAGGTGGAATGGAAGCCCATTGTGGTGCCTTCCATTTGAAGGTACTAACTGATGAACCCATCATGCCAAGGTTTGGCCTACACTAACCTGTCTTCTTTTAGTCAACAAAACAGCCTCGCAATGTCTATATTTTGTATTCCCTAACCACACCGCTTCACATCACGACATCTGTGATTTCCCCTCTCCCCCCTCCTCCCCTTCACCCTTGTCCTCCTCCTCCTCGTCGTCGTCAAGAGCCCCCTTAGCCAGCAGCTCCTTGACCCGCTTGAACTCGTCATAGTGCCGCCTCCTGTGCTCCTCAAACTCATCGCATGCACCACCCCCCTCGCTATCACCCTCCCCGCCTGGCAGTGGGTTTTTGGGTAGCAGGTGGGCGTGAGAGGGAGTTGGATGGAGGAGGGGGGAGGAGCAGAAGGGAGAGTTAGCAGAGGTGAGGAGGAGAGAAGGGGAACAGGGAACACACACACACGGCAGAGAGAGCCAGAGTGGGGGGTTGGTGGGGGGAGGAAAGAGAAGGGAGAGGGAAGCGAGTGGCAAGCAGCATGACGCAGGCAGAAATTGATTTATTCAGACTACCGGTAAGTCAGAGGCTAGGCTTGGGGGTTCGATAGGAGGGGAGCATACCAGCGTTAGCTCGGAAGGTGGCAGGGTCAAGTGTTTGGCCACGCTCCTGCATCCAGCCTGAGGGGGGAGACAGCCAGGAGGAGGGTTGGGAATATTGGGGGATCATGAGCAAAGGTTGGGAAGACGGAAAGATGGGTGAAGAGTGGTCTCGGGTTTGTACTTTTACTTGCTTGGAAGTGGGAAGTTGAACCAGGATGATGCGAAGAAGTGCAACCAGGAAGCAACTGTGTAACCAGCACACGAATCCACTCTGCAGCCATTCCAGACGTACCACTTACCACTTAACCAGGAAGGAGCTCTCTAACCAACCACCTATCCTCCCCCCTCTTCCATCACGTACCACTTCCTCCCCCTCCTCGTTCGGTTTCCACTCAAAATCTCATCCCCTGGGAACGTAGTTCAGGAGAGTTTTTATTCTTATTCTTCTTCGTTTCTTTGTTTGTTAATTGTTTGTGACATCTCAGAACTCTTCAGTCGCTCCTCACACCTACTGCCTATCCACTCACGTTCGAAATCTGCCCTGTCACATGTACTGTCAGCAGCTGACGTAGCAGCAACCTCTGCAAGCTTGGCCTGGATGACGTCAGCCTGGGCAGCAATGCTGTGTGCAGGGTCAGGTACGGGCGGCAGGACGGGGGAGAGAGCAGCAGCTGGGTAGGGGAGGGGGGGGAAGAGAGGGGTGAGGGGGGAGAGCGGGGAGAGAAGGGGGGGAGTCGGGCAGAGATGGGATTGAGGGTGAGAGGGTGGATGGGAGAAAGAGAGGGAACGGTTTGAGGTAATGGGATTGAATGGTTACCACGGCCAGGAAGGAAAAGGCAGGGAAGGAAATAGTGTGGCGAAACGAGGGGGAATTGGGAGGTGAGGACAGGTGGAGCAGCAGGGTGATAGAACAAGGGGATGCAGGGAAAAGCAGGGTTAGGTAGGGAGGAAAGAATGTAGCACGGGCGAGGGCGAGGGCGAGGGCGAGGGCGAGGGGGCATGCAGGGACCTTCGTCGGGGTCGAGGGAGAGCTGGTGGAAGGGCGTCTTGGGCTCGTCGATGGTCATGGTGGCGCTCTTGTGCTCCTCGTTGTACGTCAGATTGCCCTCGTCCCACTGCACCTTGCGCCTGGTGCACGCACACATGCATGCCATGCAAGAATGCACGCACGCATGCTTGCATGCAAGCACGCATGCGTAGGCCGAATTGCACACGGTTGCGCGTGGTCGGTTGTTCACGATAAAAGGGATCACATTGCGGGCTTGCCATGCAACCACGCAACCACGTACGCACGCACGCGCACACATCCCCCCGCGCACGCACACACGCACGCACGCACGCTCGCACGCACACGCACACACGGACAAACACACGCACGGGGGGGGTTCGTGGTTGCACGATGCGTACAAGAAAACCAGGGTGAGGGCAAGAGCCGCAACCGGGAGGGCGAGGGTTGTGCACGGGACTACCGTGGGGAGCGAGGGACGGAGCTACAAGAGGCGCGGGCAAGATGGGAGGGATGATTAATGACGCGGGAGGAAGGGTCACTAGCGGAGGTTCTGGAGGGCTGAGAATGGCGCGGGATGACGAGGAAAGGGGGTGTGGCGACGCGAAGAGGAGGGGCAGCGAACGTAGGTTGAGATCCCTGTGGGGTGTTTCTCGCAGTACCCCATACCTGGCCCATGTGTTCCCTTCCTATCCAGTCCCCTCCTCCCTTTCATCCCTCCCATCCGTACCGCGGTTTCTTCTCTTTCGAGCCGTGCGCCAGCCCGCCCCTTCTATCCGCCTCGTGCTCCTCGCCCTGGTGATCCGCCATAAGCAGCGTCTCTGGTGGGACGAGAATGCGCTGCTGGTTTGAAGTAGAGTAACGCCTGCCAACAACTGTGGTGCTGATGATGGTCTGCTGCTGAGACGAACTGCTCCCGATGGAACGGAGAGGTGCAGCCAACCAGATGCAATGTCGCACTGAATTGCAGTTCACTTGGTCGTGTTGTAAAATAGCCGCGGTTTTTCAGACGCGAGGCACTATGGAATTATCTCGCTCGTGCATGGTGTATGGTGTGGTGGAGTGGAGTGGAGTGCACAATATTGGTTGGTCCTTCTGGTCAGGTCACCTCACCACCAAGAAGCTGATGAATTGGACTGTTGATTGATTGTGTCACTGTTTGAGATGGTTGGAATGGAAGGGATGGATTCGGAAATACGCGCTTAAGTGCAGAAGGTGTTGACCCGTTAGCCATACGCACTGAAACAGTGTCAGCATGTGTACTAGTAAACATCCAATCTAAATTCATGACCATTGATCCCGTTAGTTTTCCAATTCTAGATTCACATATAGGAGCTGTTCTCCCTGGTATGTACGGTGTCATTCCAGTAAAATAATTTCGAGAGCGAAATTTCACTAATTACAATTACATGACAATTTCACGCATTTAAGCACCGGGAACGAAGCTGGTGGCATAGGCCCAGGCGTTGTTGATGGAGGGCTCAGCCAAGTGGTCGTTCAGGTTCTCGAGGGGCGACTTGCCGGTGACGATGGCCTGGAAGAAGAAGCCGAACATGGACACCATGGCGAGACGGCCGTTCTTGAGCTCCTTCACCTTGAGCTCGGCGAAGGCATCGGGGTCGTCAGCCAGGCCAAGGGGGTCGAAGTTGCCGCCGGGGTAGATGGGGTCCTCAACCTCCTGGAAGCCCTCGAGGCCACCCACGCGGTAGCTCTCGACGGCACCCATGAGGAGCACCTGGGTGGCCCAGATGGCGAGGATGGACTGAGCGTGGATCAGGGAGGGGTTGCCGAGGTAGTCGAGGCCGCCAGCGGAGAAGATCTGGGAGCCAGCCTTGAACCACACGGGCTCGCCGAAGTCGAAGGAGCCGGCGAGGAGCTCGGGGGTGAGGCAGCCCAGAGCACCGAGCATGGCCCAGCGAGCGTGGATGACCTCCAGCTCGCGGTTCTTGGCGAAGGTCTCGGGGTCCGAGGACAGACCAGCGGTGTCCCAGCCGTAGTCACCGGGGAACTCGCCGGTGAGGTAGGCGGGGGTCTGGGAGGAGAAGGGGCCCAGGAACTTGGGGCGGTCGGGGCCGTACCTGAATGTACAGAAAACGAGAGTTAAAATAATTACGAAGAGAAATGACGAATTCGAACGAATGCCAGGGATATCCACACATATCCGAGTAAGGTACTTACCAGTTGCTCTCGGGGGCGCTCTTCACAGTGCGCCTCATGGTGACACGGGCCTCGGCATTGCCGACGGACTTGGCCAACTCGGAGGTCTGGCCGACGAAGACGCTGGAGAACACAGCGGATTGGGCGACGGCAGCCATGGTGACGGAGAACAGGAAATCGGAGGTGAAGGAGAGCTGACTGTTGGCACCACAGAAATCCTGTTAACGATTGACAAATGTTTGAAGTGGCGAATAAATAGTAGAGGTAATTTTGTCGGGGCTGGTGGTTTGGTGCGCCCAAAGGCTTGGAACTTCGAGAGAGCTCGTTGACTTGGCATCGCATGACAGGTTGATAGCACAACCAGAAGATCTCACAATCAGAGCTCGCCAATCATGAGATAGAATTTTTTTCATGACACGGAATTTCAGTGACGTGGCAGACGCCAGAGGATTGGCGGAACCTTGCTGGAGAGTTTCGCATCAGTGCAAGGACTGGTGAGATTCCCAGGTGATGGTCTTCCGGAACTTCCGGGACACTTTATTCCACTTAGGCTACTGAATGATGTTTTTGTACCAGGCTGCATTTTAAATAACAAAATCCAACACACTTAATTATGCTACATCAGAGAACGTTGTATTATTTATTACCACTAGATTCTATATCTACAATGTGTTACAAAGCGATGGTTACAACCAAAGCCAAATTTTTATATAATTCATTAAGAATTTTATTAAATATTTAGAATTAGTGCCTGGCCCAGAGTGGCAGTGTTATTGGGGTATTTTTTCACCCACTTATGTTAAGAAATGTGCAGCTGATTCACTGAGGCACATGATGCCGCATCATTGTTTCTCTCAGGTCATAAGTTATTGTATGTCTGTTGTCAGGCTACACTGCTTCGACTACCGTTTTACTACAAGATCCAGTTCTCTTTCACGTACCGAGTATTGCGAAGGAAGCCTCAAACCCACACACAACCACATTGACATAGCTCAAACCTGGCAAGCACTTGCACGTCTTGCCCTCGACTCGACACCCAATCAAGCCCAGATGTACATGCTCCTCGTACCACCACTCTTCGTTCTCCACCATTGCCGATGGTTCAGATCAAACGCCGTGCCATCCGCATCGCGTTGCATCTCCAGCAACCCGAATTACTGCGTCCATCCACATCCTCTTCTCCTGCTCCCTTCCTTCTGACTGCACCGCTTGTGTCCGCGAAGCTGGGGGATACCATCGCAGCGTTGTACGGGACAGAAGGCCTCGTCTCGTTCTCCACTGTCGACGGTGAAATTCCCCTTTTCGTCAACCCTGCGTAATCGTTCTCGAACCTACCGCGCAGTGTCCCCATTTCGGTGTCCCTCCCTTTCGTTCCACCTGCTTGCAGTGGTGTTCATCGAGCGTAACAGTGTAACCACTCGCTTCATCGTGCGCTGTCCCCGCTCCTTCCTCCCTTGTATGCGCACGGCCATCGCTGCCATTCGATCCATCCAAGATTGTCCCGTCGCTGCAGCCATCGAGCACGTATCAGGTGCGTATCCGTCTGTTCCGTGTACCTTGCAAGCCACATCATGGCATGCCTCACCCCATTATACTCACTTCATCCCCAATTATCCTCAGCCATACCGCACCATGTCATGCCTTCAACGCTGATATGCATTCCATTGTCACACGTCCTCCTCCATACCATGTATGACATTCCTGGCAAGCCATGCCACCGCATACAGCAGTGTCTGAACTGTTTCCTCGTCGTCTCTGGGTTCATTCAGGCGTTCATGCTTAAAACTAATCTCAGTGCATTGATGTGTAAATCCCCAATCGCACACCTCCAATGTTTCGTGCTGCATGCACCTCTGCCATCTTTGCCACCAACCATACCACTCCTGTCAATGCAGGGGGCTGGGAAGGCAAGCGGGACCTGACCAGTGCAGCTTGAGGTCATGCAATGTTTTCATACTTGCAAATGCGTGCTCTTGCACTGTTGGGATTTACAAATGTAGGGTTAAAACTTTGAATGTGTCACCCTAAGGTATTGAGTGTCAGAAAAGTGTTGTAACAACTTAAAAGGTATTCAACATAGTCTAGTACGTTGTCTATATACGAGTGATTGGTGTATGCTCATATTCATATATTGCAAACATTGCACACATCGAAGCTGTTGAAGTTGTTGCTGCGCGGGGCATCATCGTTCGAGTGGGCCTGCACCACACTGAACCATGTCACATCGTCTTGAAACACACACTAGCGTGTTCAGCCTCTCTGAAAGTCGTACTTGGTCTGATTTTCAACTCTCACCAATTTCTGCAACCTCCACATGTAAGCTTCCCACAACAACGATGATGGCGAGGGGGGTCGCCATTGGTTGCATGCAACACAAAGTGCAGTGGTGCTCACGAATCTCCTTGGACGGACGATCAAAGCGGTGCGACGAACCGCGAATGACTACTAACCGAAGCTGCGGCAACTCTTGGAGCGAGCGAGAGGCGGATGGAAGAGGACTAGGGTGATGAATCCCAAATACTATCCTATATCGCGGCTCTCAATCGAGAGAAGCAATGACGGAGGGGAATTGAGAGGAGCGAGCGAGAGAGAGAGTGAGAGAGCCGACTCTCGTGGCATCGCGTCCTGCCATGGCAGCCTCGCGCCGAGCCACGTCATGCCGCGAAGCAGCTGCCTCGCGCATGTCGCGCGGGCTGGGCTCTCTTTCGGATCGCCCAGCGCGAACCACACGGCGCCACGCAGACATCGAAGCCACCCAAGCCAGACAGCTGCTGCCCCTGCTGCTTCTCCTCGCCCCTCTTCGCCCCTCGTCCGTCTCACCCTCCCCTGGCCATGGAACGGAGAACGGATGTCCATCTAGTTAGTAGATATGGGCGCATGCTCTCTGTTCTTGTTGCGTTACCATTTCCCGGCATTCCGACTGTGTCGCCTGTTTCCACTCGGCCAATCACGCAGCTAAAGAGGGTCAGAGCGAGGTTGTTATCGGGTGATCCGAGAGCGCTGAAGGAAGATCGTTAGGTCTGAGAAGAGAGCGTCGAGCCGAGAGCGGAGCTTAGGGTGCGGCGAATCGGCGATTGCATGAGACCAGAGGTTGCATCCATGGCGAATACTGGCGCTGCTGCGCCGCGGCACTCCGTGACCGTGGCTCCCGGCACTCCCGTGACGTGGAGGCGACCCGTCGCCACGGACGACCTGTCCAGCTACGTGGACAAGCCACGTAAGCAGCTCGTGCAGCGCTCGTTCATCCCTTGACATGCTGTCAAGCGGTCATGCGTTTTGCAGTATTGTCATACCAGCTCTTAGTTCACTGATTTCTCACACTGCACGAAGCCAGTTTTACTTCTGCGGTTCTCCCGTATTAACCTCACAACCCCCACACTCCCTCTTCCCATCTTTCCCCCTCCCTCCTCCTCGCCGATTCCCCTATGCAGATATGCCTCGTGCGGAGGTTGCGGCCGACAGGGAGCATCCGAACGGGTCCAAGGGCCATGTGACGGGCGGCATGACGGTGCTGCAGCAGCACTTCGCCTTCTTCGATCGCAACAACGATGGCATCATCTACCCGTGGGAGACCTACGAAGGTGGGTTTTCTGCTCGCCATGGGAATGCTTTGTGTGTTTCCTTATGTCAAAAGAATCTGCGCACTTGTCTGTTCATTTGCCTGTCTCTGTACAATTGCAGCATGTTCTGCTGTGTTAAATTTGTGGCTTCGTTTTCCCCCCTTGCCCAATGGCAGGATTCCGTGCTGTTGGTTTCAACATGCTGTTGTCCTTCTTCGGCATGCTCATCATTAATGGCAGCTTCAGCTATTTCACTCTTGATGTGTGTGTCTGAGCTCCGTCAACTGTTCTGTTATGCCAGTTTCCTAACACCGCTGTGCTCGTTTGGTTTGCCACTTGTGTTGTGCAGGGGTGGATTCCGTCTCCTTTCTTCCCCATATACATCCGCAATGCCCACAAGGGCAAGCATGGCAGTGACTCCGAGGTGTACGACACTGAGGGCAGGTGTGTGAATACGTGGCACGTAAACCACCACGATGGCTCATGACTCTGGCCCTGTCTCTTGTTCACATTATTATTATTCTTAACTTCATCCACCTGTCGTTGTTGCATGCCTCCTTGATCTCAGGTTTGTTCCGCAGAAATTCGAGGAGCTCTTTTCCAAGTACGACCGTGACAGGAAGGGGGGCTTGACACTGATGGAGATGCTCGAGATGACTGAAGCCAACCGTAATGTCATGGACTTTTTTGGCTGGTACGTGTAAATCTTAGCTGCCATCTTTGTTTCCTGCTTCATTGACTTAAACCCGTTACCTAACGCGTTTGGTTTCCTCCACCCACATACTGTCATCACATGTAATATTTCTTGTGTGTGTCCAGGGTTGCATCGAAGTTGGAGTGGGGTGCCACCTGGTTGCTGTGTCGCGATGACAGGGGAGTGGTGACCAAGGAGCAGATCCGGGGGATTTTTGATGGTAGCTTCTTTGAGCGCATGGAGAAGCAGCGGCGTGTGGGGATCAAGGAGTACAGGCAGTACTAGATCATGAAGTTTATGGAAGGATGTGGATGTAACATGTACGGTACATATGGAGTTCATGTCATTAACAAACACTTGCATTACACATGTTGCCTGTTCAACCCAATCATGTCAGAAATTAGTCAGTGTTGATGTCACTCTACTTTACCTACACGAATATTATAAACATGTTTCTAACATAGGTCAACATACCACAACACAGGTGGTTGGTAACATAGGTAAACAAACGAGCGTCGAATGGACATAAGACCCCAACTCCCCAGGAACTGTAATCAGATTTTTCCCTGACGAATTCTCCTGAACCCCCCTTTTCTGGACCCCTTACCTGATGCCCTCTCACCCTCCGTCCCAGCATCACCTCCCCTCCTGCTCAACTCAGAGTTTCCAAGCCCAGGTGCCCCAGGCACTCGTTGAACGTACCTCCCACCACCCATGCCAGCCCTCTGCATGCCTGGAATAGACGCAAATCTGGGTGCCTGGGAGAACTGAGGCTTGTCTACAGGGTTTCTCTGCACGGCCAGAGCTGTCTGTGCCTGCGGCTGCAGATTGCTGCTGTCTTGCAGAGGGGCGGACACAGGGGCGGACAGGGGGGCCACTTCTGCTGTTTGCCTTCGTGCCAGCCGGATACGAGAGTCTGCTGACAAGGCTGGAGGGGGAGAAGGGCGCGAGTAGCCTGAGGGAGCAGTCCGTTCTGAGAGATGAGCAGCCGGTGCATTCTGGGGGTGGGCGGATCTGGAGGGAGGGAGCTGCAGCTCGGGCAGCATTTGCACAGCCTGCATCTTCTGCTGCTCTTCCCCCAAGTCGCCTGCGAACCTGGTAGCATCCCCATTTGCGCCCTTGCCCACACCGCTCGAGAGGCGCTCTAGCTCGACAGCCCATGCTGCTGATCCGCCTTCCTCAATATCATCTTCGTCCCCTGAGGGTACGAGTAAGCCATGCCGCGGTGCAGCAGCAGCAGCAGCAGACACAGCAGCGGAAGCCGCCACAGGATCAAAAGCAGAAGCCGTTACAGGGGGGGTTGCATGGATTGCTGCAGACCTTATAGCATCATCAGCAGAGATTGTCTCCATTTCACCATCTGCAGGAGGGGTGCTCAGGAACCCTCTGTTCACTGGTAGTGACTGTGCTGGAGCACGCACTGCAGCAGCAGCAGCAGCAGCAGCAGCAGAAGCACTGGTAGTTGCAGTGGCAGGGTCAATACCCTTTCCTATGTCGACTGTGTTCTCCATGCGACCCATGGCTTCTGCCCCTGCTCTCCCTGCCGGATGCCCTTTTACAGGAGACGAAGTAGTGACAATGAAGCGAGAGGAGGGCCGGGAGGGGGAAGGCGCACGAGGGGGTGCAGAGAGGTACGGGAAGAGCTTGCGGTGGGAGGGGGAGGATGAGATAGCACCAGAGGAAGGTGACTGGAAGGAGGGCTGTGTGGTGCGAGGTGGGGGAGGGGTGGGGACGAAGGGTGGCCGCAGGGGCTGTGTTGCGGCAGTTGCTGCTTGTTGGCCGCTTGCCTGGTGCCCCGAGGAGAGCTCCTTCTGCATCTGCATCTGCTGCTGCTGTCGCTGCTGCATCTGTTGTTGCTGCTGCAGCTGCTGCGGCAGCTGATTCCGCTGCTCCTTGTTCATCTGATGAATCTGTGCTGCTCTCTGCCCTCTCGAGGCCCTGAATCGCCAATCCTCAGCAGCGGAAAGATCTGAATCTGCACCATGCCTCATCCCCACCTTCCCAGATTCCCACTCTTGATCCATTGAGGCAGAAACAGGAAGTGCCCCCCTCCCACCACCAGCCCCAGCGCCAGCGCCGGAAGCAGCAGCAGCAGCTCCAGCAGCAGCAACGAGCAACGAAGAGGCAGACCTCCTTCTCTCCCTTCTCCCTGAGACAGCAGCGAGCTGAGCAGGGGAACCCCCTCCCTGAGTATCAGATGTGGTGGCAGCGGTGGCAGACGGTGACGAGGACGAGGGGGAGCGTGAAGAGGAGCGAGAGCCATGCGAGACAGAGTGCAGGTTGGAGCCCTGGCGACCTGGAGGTATGGGCCTGTGTGGGGCAGGGGATGAGAGCAGGGGGAGTGAATGGGTGCGCACGGGGTGAAGATAAATGAGTCGAGTATCAACTACAAGAGATTTAGACTTGAGAAAGGGCAAGAAGGCAAGCATTCCACCTGTGGGACTGGAAAATAACTCACTCGCCCACCCCCTATCCAGACCCATGCCCATCAGCCCATACCCTTGTCCACACCCATACACATGCCCATGCCCACGCCCATTCCATGTCCTATTCTATGCCTAAGGCCATGATATCCCCTCACTGGAAGTACAAGCTCTCTTTGAGTAGCCACTGCAGGCGCTGGTGGCAGCCCCGCTCCACCTCCACTGGGTTGAACGCCTCCTCCTCCAGCTGGCGAGAGCGTGCGGTGTGGTGCGGTGCAGTACGGTTCACATTGAGGTGTAGACAGGAGCACAAACCACATAAACAGTTGTTAGGATTATGTACCAATATGGAGATCTAGTTGTGATAAATCCATTTGTGCTTGCTTTGGATCACATTTGGTCAGCTTTGTGGGCTCCAAAGTAAGCGGTCGGCAGCGCAGTCACCTGAGACAGTGCCAAGTCGACAGCAGCAGCCACCACTTCCCCTTTCTCCTCGTCCTCCTCCCCGTGGTTGCTGACCGGCCGTGGTGGCAGGGGCAGCAGCTCCTCTGCTGAAGCCACCCTCTGAAGTCAAGGCGGACAGGAAACAGATGCCAACATCAGAATCAAACACACCATGCTCAAAGACCAGCTATACTGGAATGGAATGAACAGGCAATCCGGAAAAAAAAGAGGAACAGGTTGGGATTTTGCGTACAAGGGAATTGGAGAAAGGAAGCATGGTGAAGTTACCCGCAGGAGAAGCGATCCAGCTTCGGTGGGCAGCAGGAGGTAGTAGCAGGGGAAGGAGACGTCCATTCGCGTGTCTGCATTGACGAGGCTGGAGCACAGCAGCCCGTTGTCATGCTGGTTCAGCGAGCGACACAGCGCAGCAAAGGCTGCAACGCCACAGGCAGGTCGGGGTTCAGAAGAGAACATTTCAGAAGGGGATGGAATGAGAAGAGAAGGCGATGAACGCATAGATGAAAAGTAGAAGCAGAATGGAAGGGAAGAGAAAAAGATGGGAGCGAAGCAGTTTGTGTGATCCATCCTCACCGTGCTCGTTCCTCTCCATCTCGGAGAGCTCTGTGCTGTTGGAGAAGTCTAGCTCCAGATTCTGAGACGGCATGAGGACGTGCGGGAGGCCAAATATGAGACCTGCACACAATCTCGCGTGCACACACACACACAATACACACGCACACACACACATACACAAGCACTCACGCAATCAGACACACACACACGCACACATGCGCGCGCGCACACACACGCACGCACACACACACACACACACACACCCACACACTCACACACACACACAAAAGCGCACATACGCACACACCCGAGCAAAAATCAGCAGATACTTCATCTCCCAGCTATGGTTACTCTAGAAAATGCTTTGTCCATGCTCTATTTGTGTCTCCCTGAATCAGCGTAAGCAAAGCACACTCCAAGTGCGTCTGCACCATGATTTGTGACTGAGGTTGTGACCATCGTCTCTTCCCACATTGAGTGAACTGAATTCTTGCCTGTACTACCTTCGCTGACTGACGACAGCGGCACTCGCTTGACCACAGTCAGAGGCACAGCAGGGGTGCCACCCCCATGCAGCCGAGGAGCCTCCATAGCCGCCTTAAACGACGGCAAGTGCAGCAACGTTCCCCTCCCTCCACTCCCACCACCGCTCGCATCACCCACGTCATCCCTCCCCACCCTCCCTCCTCTCGATCTCCCCCGAGACCCCCTCCTCCAAACCTCCTCCTCCCCTCCACCGCTCTCCCTTGACATCCTGCTAGCGTCAACCCCAGGATCCCCGTCCCATGAGCCACCACCACCACCACTTCTCCGTCTCCCTCCACTGCCTGGAGCTCCCAGCAGGACGGTGTTACTGGTCACGTCACTGGCATCCAGCCTCTGCCCCGAGACTGGGCAGCGCAGGCTTGGTGCCTTGGCGAGAGGCAGGGACGGGTTGGAGGAGCGAGCCGAGGGGGGGCTGGGTCTGCTGTTTGAGGGGCTGGGTAAGGTGGAAGGGAATAGCAGAGGCACTCCGTGACAGCGGCACGTCTGGTGGGAAGTGGGTGGGGGATGAGGGGGGAAATGGGGACGGGAGGTCAGGAAGCAGGGAAGAGAATTTGAGAGATGCACTGAGCGTTAGGAAGAGTGAGCTGTTGGAGGGTGGGTTGGCCAGGAAGAGCACAACACAAGGAAGGAAATCGCAGGGTGAAGGCCAGAGATTTGGCATGGTGATGGCGAAAACGCGCTGGTGCACCCAAGGAGGTGAAGTGATGAGGGTACTCAAATGGCAAGTGCGCATTCGCTCACATCACAGGCACAGCATACACTGCCGGCACTGCAGCTCACCAGGCACGGCTGAATGGTGTCGTGCAATTGCAGCACCGTTGGATGCGCAGAGCAGGTTATGCTCAGTGGAGCCGCCGCCCTCTCTGCCCCTGCACCAGTGTTGTCTCCCTGGGTCCTCTTGCTCTTCGCCTTGGACGTTCCAAACTGAAGGGCGAAATCGATGGTGGTGTCTGCGCCACATGAATGCAGGTGCTGCAGCCAGCGCTTTGTGTGAGCATCCAGCTGCACGGGATCTGCAGGGGGAGAGAGCAGCGTCCGCGTGGTTGGAACTTGAGTGAAGCAAGCGGGGGGGACCGATCTCAGCTGTAGCTGCAGCTCAGCAGAATTATGTGCTAAAGTGTACCACTAGTGGGACTTGCAGAAGGACCATTCTGGAGAAGGAGAAGGTCTTGAGGAGGTAAGGGAGGTTACAGTTTAGAGCATATGGCGGAACAGCGTACCGCATGGCATGCAGTGCAGGGAGCAGTTCTCATAGCCCGACACTGCGTCCTCCAGCTCCTCCAGCCTTGATGAATGGCTGGTTGGAGGAGAACCAACATCGCCTGAATACCCTGCAAACAATTGCCTGTTAATTCCTGATTCGCCCACCGTGTCACCACCTTGGCACCACGGTGTAAGTTCTGTACGAAAGCTGCAACATTTCTAAATACCAGATCGCGTCCTGTGGTGGTTTGCTTTGTTGCCCGTAGCAGGCTGGACTACAAGGAAGTCAACAGAGACACATCGAGTGGCAGCTTCCTGCAGAGCGAACTCGGAGTGAACTTTCTCGCATGAAACAAAACAACAGCAGATAGCTTCAACAGTGCACACACGTCAAGAACGTGAAGTGTCACAACCCCCCCCCCCCCCCCCCCCCCCCCCCCCCCGATCTCTTACACAGAAACTCACACACACACACACACACACGCACACGCACGCACGCACGCACGCACGCACGCACGCACGCACGCACGCACGCACGCACGCACGCACACACACACACACACACACACACCATCACGGCTGAGTGGAAGCTCTCATCGGAGGGGTCCTGCAGTATGGACCCACAGACGAAAATGACTTTGCAGCTTGCTCCTGCCAGCAGCTTGGATGTAGCAATCTGCGGTACTGACTCTCCATTGTCAGCTTCTTCAACTACGCTTCCCCGAGCATTTGGCTGGGTAGTCATTCGCAGCAAGGATGCGAGAAAAGCCACTGGAAGTTACAGGGTGGGGGGCATAGTTGGTTAATAGACAAATAGGAAAACGGAAACATTTGAGTGATCGCTTTCTAAAATCACGGTCATCATCGCTTACTCTGACTGCCAACTCCTCCACTGCGAAACTGTTCAGCACCGCCAGCTTCTCCTCCCGCTTCCATAAGAAACGGGTTTGATGGGGCCGCATCAGAGCCGCCAGGGTTAGGCGGCGAGACGCTGAGGCTTCGTTGTAGCCTCTGCGCCAAAGAGGTGGCCGACTGAGCGAGGTTTGCGGCTGACAGCGCATGGTTGAACTCCCTCAATCCAAACGTCTGGTTGGGTTTCTCGGCTGCTGGGTACACCTGGATAAGCTGGGAGAAGCAGAGAAAACGGTGTTACATTCAAATGAAGAACGAACATTGAAGATGAAACTCGAAGAACGCGAGGGAGTAGGTGAATTGCAGATTGAGAAGTCATTTGCTGCAAAACATTTACCTCAAAGTGGCTGGACTCAGGAACCCATCGGTTGTGGTGGACCGATACGCTCGGAGTGGTGTTTCCACCATGGTTCCACGAATGAGGCTGACCGATAGCAATCAAATGTCCGAAACGCTGAAGAGCCTGAAACGTGCAATGAGTCCAAGTAAGATCTCCAATGGAATGTTTTTCTACGGTACTATTCTCCCTTAAAATGCCATATTTTCTGAATATGAACACCAGACAAATGGAACGACTTCAGGCCAGGTCTCACTTCTTTGACGATCGCCAACGACCTGCCGTCGATGGTTGAATCTAGCACGAAATGAAGAGACGCCATTGCGAGCACGAGCCTTACTTAGCTATGGGTTGAAATTCCCAAACTAGCGTTTAAATGTCGTGTCGTCCTACAATCTAGCAATCAAATGGTGGGTCTATAGATGTCGTGTTGTCCTACAAAGTTCGAACTACGGATGCTTCCTTCACCGGTCCAAATGGTGGGCTTCTGATACAGCAGATGCTGCTTGCAGCATTGGTGCTGGTGACTAGTACCACTTCGCAGGTACTCTTCCAACACATATCCCGAAGAGTCGTATCAGGCAAAATTTGGAGGTGTTTTCGCTGCACATGCTGCAACTGGACCCGCATTGATGCTCTCTCACTCACCTGTTCTCTCCGTCAAGGCCTGTGGACAACGGACAATCCCAAGGTGCCTGAATCCCTGAATCGACTAAACTCTGGTAGCCTTTTCCTTCGCTAGAGCATAGGAACGTACGAGGAGAAACCTAGGGATGACCATCAACGCCTCGGGTCTGGTAATTTTGCCACCCTCTCAAACTCCAAGGTGGCTATTCCGCGGCTCCAGCCAGGGTATGCCTGGATCTTTATATATAACAGTCCACAAAAAGATACACTTATCCTATATTCCCTTGTTTGAATAAATCCGTTTAATTATGAAACATTGATCTCTCATTTTTAAGTTTAAGAAACTGTATATTCGCATCCTTTATGAACAAAATTTTATGAATAAATGTATATATATATATATTGTACTTATACATAAAATCAGATATAATAGATAATGATCATATGCAATTTGTGTAAAACACTAATTAAGATCACCCAACATTATTCTGAGAGGTCCCATGTATCTGAGCTCTGTATGCAATTTGTGGCCTACTTATCCTCTCTATATTAACCATTGTGTATCCCTAGTCTGAGAAGATTTAGGAATCGAGCATGTGCAGTCACGATCTAATAATACACATAATCGAGTAACACAATTCGCTCGTATGTGTGTGGTGGCAGCCTTTCCTGCCAACTGTGTAACAGCTGGACAGTCTCGAACCTCAATCACTCTATAAGAACCGTCGATGCAAACAGTTTTGCAAGTCTTACGACACTTTGACGTGTACATACGTTTCATGACCTTAGCACATCACCATCGATCACACACGTGTCACATCCACGCGGCAATCCAATCACCAAAATCTACCACCACCACTCCTGTCCCCCAATTTCCTCCACCACCACCCTTCCTCTGGAATTCGGGAGTTGGCTTTTATCCCATGCTGGACCTCCCATTCCTGATCTAAAATCCTCCGCCATGGCTCCTCCGTGGATCCCCACTCTACATATCAAGCAACATTTTCATTCCTCTGTTTCAGCTTTCTGTTTTGTTTGTCCGCCTCACGAGAGGTTGCTGTGTCTTCAGATTACAGGGAAAGGCAACTTCTCTTTGCAAGCTTCCCTGATCGATCTGAATCATGGCAGCCGTCACATCGCGTGTGTCTGCGGCCCTCACGGGCGCCGTCAGCAACGCCGGCATCCGGCCGCTTTCCACACGCCAGCTCGCTTTTAGAGCCGCTCCATCCATTGGCAGGTGATTGTTCGGATACCTTACCGGGTCGATGTGGGTCTCCACTCTGTGGGTCTCAGCTGTAATCGCCCCCTCCCAACTTCACTGTTATGGTTAATTTCGCATGGCGGCTTGCCTGCCCGTTTGCCGGATCGCCTCACTCGCGCGCTACATGCATGCGTGCGTGTGCAAACGTCGGAATTTGAAAAGGTCATGGCGGATTAGTCCACGGCAGTGTCCAGTGATGTGAACGATTTGCCTGAATGACGCCAACCGTCTTCTCGCACGTGCCTCGCAGAGCTGCCTTGCCCTCTTCTCCTCCTCTCTCCCTCCTTCACTCCCACCTTCTCCTCCTTTCCCTACCCGTCCCCTCCTTCCCACCACTCCCACCTTCACCTCCTCCTTTACCTCCTCCTCTTCCTCCTTTACCTCCTCCTCTTCCTCCTTCCCTCCTCCTGACCCCTTTCCTCACCCTCCTCCCCCTTTCCGCAAGGGCTTGTCAGTTTTGTGTGGTAACGGCGAGTCGACACTGTAAGTGCGTCGCAAGTGGGTATTATGCTATGAGAGCTGAGGACACTCGTATTCCACCCGATGCCTTGTCGCCCGAGGCCTTGTCGCCATACGCTACCACATAGAACGTCATCTAGCGTCATCTAGATGAGTATCTTACGAATTCATCTCCCACGCGACCTGGAATGAACGTCATCTAGCGTCACACCATTTGTTGCTTTCAAATATTTCTCGTGTCGTTACATGTGTGCAATCAGCCATTGTAGTTACATGTTCTCAGCGCCTAATATAACATCTGGGTCGATACAATGGCCACACCTACCTTAACGTCACCACACGTCGCTCCCTCCTTTCCTCTTCCTGGCCTTCTTCCCTTCTCGGTTCCCGCCCCCTTTTTTTCCTCGTGCGATCCCTCTCTCGTACCTCGACCCGCCTCTACCATCAGCGCGTCGCAGCGCCTCTCGTCGGTCGCACGTCGCTCGGAGCAGCAGCAGCGCCGCCTACAGTGCCGCGCCAGCAGCGCGGAGTCGGACGATGCGTTCGGCGACTACAAGGCCACGGTCGCCGCGCTCTTCCCCGGCCAGGGCGCGCAGAGCGTCGGCATGGGCGCGGAAGCCGCCGCCGTGCCGGCTACGGCGGCGCTGTTCGCCAAGGCTAGCGAGATCCTCGGGTGAGTAGCGCGTGTGTGGGAATGATTATGTCCCGCGAGAGGGGGGGAGGGGGGGGGGCAGGGGGGGAGGGGAAGAAATTCGGGTATATGGTGGTGGGAGGGGGGGTGAATGGGTGGGGAGAGGGCGGGGGGGAGAGACTGGAAGTTGTGTCGATCCCAGTGAGTGGGAGAATGGACTTGTTGGGTCTACCCTATTCACTGGTGTTTTGCGTTCTACAAGGTTGGTAACAATCGTTCCCTAGTAGCGTTATGACTGTTTTTTTCGTGCGCTACTAGCGTCCTCGACTCCGGTTTCTTGCGCACGCACTCTCCTTCCTCCCCCCTTTTATCTCTCACCCTCGCGTTCCCCCTTGCGGTCTTCATTCATCCCCCGTCTCCTCCCCTTCCGCCTCCCCCGTGTTTTCCCCTCCCGCCGGCCCCGCGCGCAGCTACGATCTGCTCGACGTGTGCGTCAACGGCCCCAAGGAGAAGCTCGACTTGACGGCCGTCAGCCAGCCGGCCATCTACGTCGCGTCGCTGGCGGCCGTGGAGGCGCTGCGCGCGCAGGAGGGCGGCGCGGCGAAGCTGGCGAGCATCGACGTGGCGGCGGGGCTGAGCCTGGGCGAGTACACGGCGCTCGCGTTCGCCGATGCGTTCAGCTTCGAGGACGGGCTGAAACTCGTGCAGCTGCGCGGCGAGGCCATGCAGGTGAGGGAGAAGAGGGAATGGGGGCGGGAGGGCGTGGGCTAGATGAGGGAGTGGGGGATAGAGTGGGTGCATAAGTGCAGCATTGGGATTGCAAATCGAATTTCTGTGTGTGTGTGTGTGTGGAGGCAACGTAATGTGTGAGGGGAGGGTTTTGCGCGGGTTTCCCGTGTGACTCCCATGATACCCTTCTCCACGCTCATGTTTCTGGTCTTTTATCTCTTTGCGCTCTGATTCCTCCCCTCCGCCCCTCCCCTCCTCTCCCCTCCCCTCCCCTCCCCTCCTCTCTATCTCTCCTTGGTTGCACCAGGCGGCAGCGGACGCAGCTCCCAGCGCGATGGTGAGCGTGATCGGGCTGGGCGCGGACAAGGTGCAGGCGCTGTGCGACGCGGCGAACGAGGACGTGGAGGAGAGCCAGCGCGTGCAGATCGCCAACTTCCTCTGCAACGTGCGTGCGCTGAGCAAGGGATCATGGGGGGGAGGGGGAGGGAGAGAGTGTTTGAGGGGGGGGGGGAGTGGGGGGACAGGGAGAGATGGCGGAGGGGTGGTGTGCTGTTTGTGGTGGTACTTGCCTGATGTAAAGCAAGTTGAATTTACCTCCCCCCACCTCAACCAGCCCGTGCGACCTCTCCCTGCCTCTTCCCGTCCCTCCCCTCTTGTCCCTCCGACCTTTTTTTTTTTGCATTTTGCAGGGTAATTATGCTGTGTCAGGAGGTGTGGAGGGGTGCAAAGCGGTGGAGGCCAAGGCCAAGTCCTTCAAGGCCCGCATGACAGTAAGCACCCTTTCCTTACACACCATGCTAGGTAGCTGTTCGCCATGTCTCACTTGCCGGTACTCTGTATTCTCACTTTCTGTTTCCTGTTGCACTCTGCTACTTGCTGTATCACGCATATTGCTATGACCGCATCTCGCTTGTCCTCCAATCCCACTTCTCATCATGTGCCCCTCTTCTTCCCTGCTTCACTCTCCCACCCCCTCCCATCCTCCCTCCCCCACCCACCTTCCAGGTGCGTCTAGCTGTGGCCGGCGCCTTCCACACGCGCTTCATGGCCCCCGCGGTTCCTCGTCTGGAGGAAGCCCTGGCCAACACCACCTTCCACACCCCACGCATCCCAATAGTGTCCAACGTGGACATGCGCCCGCACTCCGACCCAGCCGTCATCAAGAGCATCCTCGCCCAGCAGATCACGTCGCCCGTGCAATGGGAGGGGTCGCTCAAGCAGCTGCTTGCGCGCGGGTTGACGGAGAGCTATGAGCTGGGGCCCGGGAAGGTTATTGCGGGGATTATGAAGCGCGTTGACAAGGCTGCTCCTGCTGTTGTCAATGTCTCGGTGTAGGGGGGGGGGGAGTGAGACCACCACAACAGTTTTGACATAATAATAAGCTATGTTGTTTGCAACTCGATAATTGAGTTGTGCAATTATATAAAGTGCGCAATCCATCCGACAAAGGCCCTCACAGAATGGGAAAAAAAAATCTGTGGTTATGAAGTTTCACACTAAAGTGCGCGGATTTCACAAACGTACTGAAATGCATCAAAAGCCGGAACTACAGAAACCCTAAAACGAGTATTGAATAGGTTAGGCAGAGTCGAGCTAGGCAAGAACCTGGGGATAA